GCTAATGGTGAACATGTGAGTTTGTTAATAAACCGGCAGGCACAACAGTGATAAATGACTTGTGCGAGGGAACGCAAAAGGTATTGGGAGGTAACGCAATACTATTGCGTGGGAACGCAAAAAGAAAAAAAAATCCCCCATGTCCCCTCTTGGGCTCCGTACAATACAACCCACATATACAAAAAATACCATAAACAGTATCATAGAAACGAGTGGTATCTCCTGAATAAACAGTCTTTCTGCCATGTGAAAAGGGAAAATTCAGGCGTTCACTCAGTTTGCAGTGAATGGCAAGTTGCGTTTTCAGGCAAAAATATAATTTTTAGAATTAAAATTCAGTTCAAGCTATTTATATYGGGTGTTTACTGAAGCCAGGTCATTTTGACCTGGAGGACAAAGAGTGTATTCAGAATATGAAGACAACTGGAGGATTAACCATGATATACAGTAGATGGCTACAAATGGGTCAGAGTAAATATACATGTTGTTACTCAGTAAGTCATGGAGAATACCTTAAATAAACACTGATCAGGAAATGACCTTCACAAATGAAAGCAAGGCAAACAGTGTATTTTTTCTATCTTTCTTAAATGAAATTTAAACACAATTCTCAGCTCAGCCTGAATCCCTTGGCAGTTTACACTACAGGACAAATACACACAGCTGTGTGCACACTGACACCCTGATGATACAATTAATTCTGCACATGTGAACCTGAACAACTTAAATTCACACCAAAAGAGTTGAAAAATTCTCAGCTACTGCCTCTGGTCAGCCAGAGGGGGCAGTAATTAACCACGGAAAAATAATTAATCTGTTATTTAAGTGCAACTTATCTGGAATTCATTCAGTATCTGCTTAAAATAATCTTTTATATTAGCAGAAAGTGTAGACATGCTCGTATCTTGTTGCTGACAGGAATGACATCTTCTTTCAAACAAACGTAACAAAAATATTGGATTTTCTTCATAAATTTAAATGTGCACATTCAGATATGTGTTCTACTTTCAGGGGCCTCAAGGACCACAAGGAAGTCCAGGACCCAGGGTGAGAGTTCCCTGCAGTATCACATTTCACTGTGACAGACACTACARACTGTTTTCCTTAAGGGTCTTTAGTTTCAGTGCTAGAACTTGTTTAGTCAGCTGTTATTGCCTACAGTAAACACTCCTAACAGTTTTTTTGCAATTAAATCATAAAGGTCAGATATTTAGTCTTTACACTAAAATATGCTGCAGCCCAGAGAACATGTCAATATCCAAACACAATAGATAAGACCAGAGAATGAGCTGACAGTGGGATCATTTAACTCTTAACTCTTTTTTTCCCCTTCCTTCCTCCATAGGGACCCCCTGGTGCACCCGGTCCAACAGTAAGTATTTAGCATCAGAAAGGCAGACAGGATCAGATGACAAGAAAAGTCCTGTTCGAATGTAAAATCCTGAGGATTTASACYCTAAAAATAACAAATGTACAACTAYTGATTCATTCATTTTCACTTCACTTGAACCCCGTGCCCTCATTCTGTTCTGTCTTCGATTTAATTTGGCTTGGGATTGATCRATTTACATCTTGAAAAGTGAAATTTGCTTTTTATTAATCCAGCAGACTTTTCAGGGAAATGGGAGAAAATAGAAAACTGTCTTTTTTATGGGGGGAAAAATAAAGAAAATGAGAGCACAGGGATCCGCTTTCTAACTTGTAAATGAGCCAACAGGTCATGGGGACGTTATTGAGCAGGGCTGGCAAGGTGAACTATTGATAAACGTTAAGTGTCATTACAAAAAAAAACTCTCATTTTATTACTTGTGGCTACTTTCAGATAACGTGGAACACTCTATTGTTTGGATAACCCATTTTTTTGTTGAAGCAAACCATAAAAATTTCAACAATTTTACAAGTGCCTTTTTGTTTAGATATATGAAATGAAAACCCTAGTTTTTATAACAGGCAGAATGTTCATGCTGGAGTCTGGAATGTGATGTTTATTAATGTTAGACTGGTATTAAACTGTATTCTGGTTGTATATTTTTCTCCTTAAGCTTAATTTCTGTTAGTTTTGATTGTTAGCAAGAGGTTTTCAGACAATTGAGTTATTGTAGGACTGTTCCCCTGAATCCAGAGTCGGCCCATGGCATAGGCAGTATAGGCACCTGCTAAGGGTGTCTTCCTACTGGGAGGCATCACAAATGGGGGACAAATTTTTTTTTATAATATTTAATCTGAATGTTGATTTAAACTTGGTTTATGAAGGTTACTTGTTCTGTGGGTTTCTCAGCCTGTTTTGTTTCTACCTGATGTCATATTGTACGGAGGRTATTTCATGACAAAAGTATCATATGGTTTTCAGTGTTCTACCTACAAAAAATACAGGATTTTACATGTTTTTTTTTAAATCCCAAGAATGTAATAAAATGCTCTTGAAGTGGCTGGAAGAAGCATAGTTTTGAGTAGCTCTTTTACAAAATTCTCCGGAGGTTTATAACCCTGGAGCCCCCTAGAACTGCTTCACTCCACAGCTGCTCATTAACATGAACAGGTGTTCCTCATCACTGACATCAGATGTAGGCAGGTGTAGACTTCTGGTGTTCTGTTTCAAATAAATTATATTGTTAGCTATTTTGGTAACACTTTATAACTACACCTTTAGCCTTAATTAATCATTAATAAAGGATTACTGAACCTTGAAGACATCATTGATTAAGGATGATTCAAGCTTAATAAGCTGTGAATCAACACATATRTTAATGTTTTACCCATAAAGGCTAAATACGTCTAAAACCAACATACTCATTGTTTACTCGTGCTTAATAACTCATGAGTAAACTATTTTATATACTGTTTATATATATGTATGTAAATGCTCATATAAATGTATTTTCACACCATGTGTTAGACATGTATTATTGGTTAGAGAATGTTTGAATTKACTATCTACTAACCCTGCAGTGCATCAATAACTGAGCAGATGTTAGTATTACCTGTGAGCCTTTGCTGCCTGAGCATAAGTCAAACTTCCTCGAAATGTACAGGCTAAAAAACAAAAACAAAAAATACCACACTGGCGTCATAAGCAAAGGGTCTTTACTTTAAAAAACTGTTTGTATTTCATGTATTATATTAATGCATTTGGCCCACAGCACCTCAGATAGGTTTTCATTTTTGCTCCTCTCAGGGAAAGTTTTAGCCACCTTGCTCTAAGCAGGAAGTTAAACGTATGCTCAGGCAGCAAAGCCTCATGGGAAATTTCATAAATTGATAAAACAAGCGTATTGGGTCTTATAAAGTTTGCAAATCTACATGTGTGCTTAAACCATGAGTGAAAACTATCTGCACTACAGCCCCTTATATAGTGATTAGATGAAGAGATGTAAAGATTGGAAGTGGAATTGCAGTCTTTCAACATCAAGCTGGTAACTGGTGACTTTGATTTACAAATACTTAAATAAACATAAATAGACTTAACTAACTCCTAACGCCTGCCTTAATTACTGATGCACTGCAGGGTTAGTAGATCGTCAATTTAAACATTCTCTACCAATAATACATGTCTAACACATTGTGTGAAAATAAATTTATATGAGCATATATATATACACAGTATATAGAATAGTTAACTCATGAGTTATTACACATGAGTAAACAATGAGTATGTTTGTTTTAGAAGTAATTAGCCTTTATGGGTAAAACATTAATAACTGTGTTAACTCATAGCTTATTAAGTCTGAATCATCCTTAATTAATGATGTCTTCAAGGTTATTAAAGATTAATTAAGGCTAAATAAGTTGCAATTATTATAAAGAGTTACAACTACTTTTAATTGGACAACCTGGTTTCTAAAGAAAAAAAAAACATCAAAGACAAAACTATTTAATTTGGTTAGTGAATGTAGGTGAATTGACAGTGAGATGTAGAAAACCTGAAATTTTGCACAGGGCTCCAAATTGGCTAGGGCCAGCCCTTGCCTGAATCTACTGTTGTTGTAATTGAACTAATCCTGTTGGTTTTAACTCCACAGAGGAACATTTATGATGACTCAGTTTACRGTCAATCTGACTCCAATTCTGCCCTCAGGACCGAGGTAACGTGCACAATACAGACGAGTGAATGATATATCAATAAGCAGATTTGTTTGTAGATTGTTGATCACTTAATTCTTTTAGAGTTTGATGGTTTCATCTTTCCCACCTGTAACCAGATCTTTCAGAATATGGACATGAGCCAACCAGACCAAAATACAGAGATACTGAAGACGCTTCGTTACCTGAGCAGCATCGTCGAGAGCATCAAGAAGCCTCTGGGGACAAGGGACAACCCAGCTCGTGTCTGCAAAGACCTGCTRGACTGTCGACACTTACACCTCAAAGACGGTAAGCTTTTTAGAGGTGCTTGGAGGGTTTTTGTTGTTCTGGTTGGTTTATTTTACTCTTATTCGCTTTGTCTGTTTTTATCTGTTTGACTGGGAACTTTCAGACTGGTTCTGGATTGATCCAAACCTGGGATGTACTTCTGATGCCTTCAAGGTCTACTGCAACTTTACTGCAGGTGGACAGACTTGTTTGCACCCTGTGGCTTCCAATAAGGTATCATTGAAGTAGAACAATGATCTGGTTGATGTATTAGCCGTTAGAAGAATAATTTAAACTTTAATGTTTAATACCAGACATTTGGATGTGAATTCAGTAATGAAATCTGTGGCCCGTTGAGTCTGTATAAGAGTGTTTAAAAGAGTTTTTCCTCATATTTCTGAAAGCACACACATTCTGTTTCCTGTCCAACAGATGGTGTTTGGTGTTGAGAAAGTCCAAATGAAGTTTCTTCATTTACTGAGCTCGGAGGCCAGCCAAAGCATCACGTTCCACTGCCAAAACGATCCATCCTTTACCGCCAAAGATACCGTCACCTCCACTGAACCCTTGCACATAGAAAACAGCAAGCTTCGGTTCCAAGGCTGGAACAAACAAATGTTTGAGAAAGACACACTACTTGAACAACATTTGATACAAGATGAGTGCAAGGTATTGAGCAGAACAGAAGCTTATTCGATGTATTCCTTTTCTTTTTTGTCGGTTCATCGAAATCCTTGAAAGTTTGTGAATTTTAAGAAATTAGTTCAAGGCCCTGTAAGATACCCATTCTTGAAAATCTTTGAATAACTTTTTGGGGTTAATCATGAAATTTCACATGGATGACTACCACTGTCGATGTGTCGTTATTTTTGTTTGCTTGGCCCTGCATTCTTGTTTCCCGTGGGTAGTTTATGTARTTAACTTGTACGGACCAGCACCTGCATCAGGCGTGCAATATTCTCACTGGTGAATTGGTGAATTGCCAGTCACGCTGAGTCAGTCACTGAGTAAGCCCTATGAGAAATTAACCATTTTGCAACACATTTGCTGAAGAAAGATTCATCTCACCTTTACTAGACTCCATGAATAGTAGATATGAATGTAGGCATTCTGAATAAACATCTTCTATGCCATTCAGTTTTGTTTTGAATTTGCATTGTATTAAATCATTTATTGATTACATATTCAGCAATAGGCATATGCTGTTGCACATGGTCTTTGAATTCGAGAAAATTGGTTATTGTGTACCAGATGTGGGAACCCTGTACAAAAGTTTTCACAGAATTCTGACCATCAAAGATTTGTCTCTACACACATATAACCCCAAAGAAATGATCACATTTCTTATAATTGTTTTATTGTTTTCAAGATTGAAATTTGGAGAAAGCACATGTGAAAACTGAAAAACCATCTATTGTGACTTCATTTGAAGCACAAACCACCAGAACCTCATTCCTTCTCTCCATTTATTGTGTTTCAGATCCAAGATGGCAGCTGGCACCAGTCTCGTTTCTCCTTCCACACTCAGGACAGTCGTCAGCTACCCATTTCAGACATACAGGGATTTCCTACTTCACAGGACAACAGTCAACAATACATAGAAATCGGTCCTGTCTGCTTCCTCTGACACCAACATCTTCCTTTAACTCACTCACTTAGATCACTCAGATCCACAGATGTTTCCTACCAAAGAGATGCTTCCTCTGGATGCATTTATGAGAGTAAAAAATGCTCAGTTGAGGAAGATCTGCTTAGAAGAACTCAGTCTTTGAGAGGCATTCAGGCCAATGAGGCCAAAGGAAARCTGTCCATTCAGAAATGTATCAAATAAATGTATAAACTAAGGGCTTTCTTTTCTTTTTATTTTATATACRTGTATATTTTTTTACAGTGCTTAGGTTCACTGCAAATGGACCCATGCTAATCCCTAATCACAGGGAAGGGCCGCCCATCTCAGCAGCCTGTTCAGAATTTCCAAACTCACGCCGTAAACATGCAGACCATCCTAAGCAGGAGCCCAACCSGAAGGATCGTGCCAGGCCTCTGCGTAGGATACCGTCTAAGGGTTTAAACAAGTGCAATAGCATGTGGATAATATGTGACTGCTTTAAAGAAAATCTGCTCCGAGGCTACATTTACTTTTTTTTGTTTTTTTACTTTGGTCCCACCAAGTCGGGCTTGTACCTCTTGACTTATGGTGCTCTACCTCTTACCTGGTTATTTGCTTTCTAGACTAGTTGCTAATGTCAGTTTAGTGTTGACTTTGTGTCGTATGTACCGGTTACATCAAGACTTGTTGTGTTGTTTGAGTACTTATGTTGATTTGGTCACTTCTAATTTATGAACCAATTTTTGATCCACTACATATTTTTATGATATTTCTCTATGTGGATGGTTTCCAAACCAACCATTGGTGCTGCAACAATGAGTCATCAATATTTCCTGTGTATATATTGACAGCATACTGTATGTTTATTTATAACCTCGTTTTTTTTTAATTCACATTACTGTACCGCAGAAAGTTATACTCTCAGAGATTTGTTTGACCAACTACAGCTCAGTCTAATGAATATTTATGTTTAAATGGTGTGCTTTTGGTTCATACCTGTGACTCTTCATCATAGTGTTGTTTTTACATTCAGAGGTACAGTACATTGCTGGCTGCCAGCTAGAGTTAGCCAGAGTCAAAAAAAACATGGAAAACAGTCACCATATACAGTAATTAAGTTATATTACCTTCAACAAGGTGTTTGGAAAGTTTGTGGACGATAATGCAAATGTGTAAATAGAAAAGCCTTGACAAATAAATAAAGGATCATTTGRTCCACAACTTGTTTGGTGCTCTTTTTGATAAGAAGTACACATAATTAGCAAGTCAAAGTTCAACACAACAAACATGATGGAGTACCTGCCACTCGTGCTKTACACGCAAACTCCACCCAGGAAGTATCCCAGGCTGGGAGGCGATCCTGTAACCAGCTGCTCTCTCACCACTGCACCGCTGTGCCGTTTTGGAATGTGCAACAAACACAATGGTTCACGCCWCCAAGTTCAACTCATAACACATGAACAAAAACCACCAACATGAAGAATWTCACAATGCCAAAAAGTTGCAGACAGTGTACACACTGGGGAGTRCATGTTGTCCTTTACAAAGTTTAGAATACATGTCTAATAAATTGCAATCATGACTTAATGCTTATCAGTTTCCTTTTTGCAGGTTTTAAGCAGCTGTACAGTTTATCATGCAGACACAATTGTTATGGGTTCATGAGCGTCAATGGATTGATGAATAAATGGGATATTCTCCAATGTTTCTTCATTCATGACCTGAATTATGACGTAACAGGTTACACTGAATCTACACTGAATCTCTGCAGTTTTGACTAAATAAATAAATAAATAAATAAAAATGATAAGAGGAAAAAAGATAGTCCCTACAGCATGGATTTCCACAATTAATCCAAGAAAATGGAAACAACCAGTTTGTGTTGATGAATCTAAAGTGTAGTCCATTCATCCATACCACTTTAAACATTATTTAAATTTTTTTATTGAAATAAAGAGAGAGATAAAGAAACAGACAAATAAAACATTTTATTCATTTTTAACGGTCATTGAAAATTATGGGGGAAATCATCCACCCTTACAGCTACTCTTCTTTGAAATGTTAACATTTATATTATTAAAATATTGCTATTACTATTATTTCCTTTTATTTATTCCAAATGCTATAAAAGTATTCTAATATTCATGTTGGTTGGCTACAGTGTTTTTGTGCTTGGTGATTCAGTTGTAGATCAGCTCCTCGGACACCAGGGGGCGCCAACAAGAAGACCGGAACCGGAACTTGTCCCCACGTGCTGGCAGTTCAAGCGGAAGAGGGTTTGTTTTGATGCCGCCAGATGCTCAATAAACGTGCTGCACGGATTCTCCCGTTATGTGCTCTCTAATTTGACCAAAAAACAGATAAAATGTCTATATCGGAGAGTCAAGTCGATAACAGCTGCCAAGAGGACGAGCAGAAAGCGACAAAAAGAAAAATCTCTCTCTCARAGTAAGTTTAGACACGGAGATTCCAACTTCAACGCTGAGGTTTTTTTTAGCCACTCCAAACTGAACACAACAGCCTCGTTTTTTTAAGAGTAACATTTGTTGTCCTTTATGTTTTCCTGTTTACTCTCTGTGTTGTTCTTATCTGTTAAACAAAGTAAATGTCAACACTGTGTTTCCTGCTGATGCATCTTTGCTGCAGATGTGGAGTTTGTGGATCAGAGGAGGCAAAGTACAGATGTCCTGCCTGCCTTACCCACACTTGTAGGTGAGATATAAACCAACTAAGCAGAGAATTTACACATAGTTTTTCTTTTTTTTTATTTATTTTTTAAACAATGTGTACTATTTTCACCACCTTGGAAGCATTCAGAACCTTTGCTCGGGCTGCTAAAAA